GCACCAACGGCAGCAGCAGCAGCAGCAGCAGCAGCAGCAGCAGCAGCCGCAGCAGGAGGTGGTGCGCGTGTACAACGGCGCCTGTGCCTGGGCGTCCGGCCAGCTGGAAGGCGAGCTCAGGGGCGGCGTGTGGGGGCTGGTGACCCAGGCGGCGGTTGCTGACGTGGCGGGCACACCGCCGCAGCGGCTGTGGCGCGAGCTCACGGACTCGGGGCGGCTGCGGTGGCTGTGAGTGGTGGCTGGGTGATGTCATTGTGATGTCATCTGGCCGCTGTGCCCCTCTGTCCCGCCGCCCGCCACTGCGGGGGCGAGGCGATGCGGCATTGAGGCGGCCAACGCCGCTGCGCTTTGGCCGCTTTGCGCGGTCGACGCGCGGGGTCGGGGCCACGGCCGCCGCAGCCCCGCCGCCCCACCCACGGCCGCGCGCCTTGGGCTCACGGCGCGGCGCAGGGCGCCCGGAGTTGGCCCCGCTGTTGGAGCGCAGCGCAGCCAGATGCGGCAGGGCTCAAAACGTTTGCGTGCGCCGCTTCCAGGCGGCACGGCAACCCCGCCTGCAACTTTTTGCCCCGTCCAATGCAGGCGGTGGCCGCGCCCGCCGGGCGCACGCAGGGGAGCGCGCCGCTACCGTGGGGCCCGCTTCCCGTGCAACCGCGGCTGCGGCGCGCCGTTGACTGTTCCCGGTCAAACCTCAGTCCCATGGCGCAGGGCGCAGGGTGCAGGGCAAAAGCAATGGCTGCGCCCAATCAAATGAGCCGCCCGCATGCGCGCCACCAACGCTGCCACTGCGTCGACCCCCCCCAAACACACGCACACAATTTAATCGATTTCAGAGCACGGGCCCGCGTCGCGGCCCCGTGCAGAGCGCTGTTTATCGCACGCATGCTGTATCGTGAAGCAAGCCGGTCCCGTTGGCAGCGCCCCTTTCCGGCGGAACCCATCCGCGCGCGCCGCTTCCGCGCCTTTTGGGCGGTGCAACGCACGGCCGGGCGCGGCCCCGGCGGCGCGTACGGCCCCCTTGTTGTTGGGGCCGCGCCCCTCTCTCGGCCGGCTATTGGGCGGACTGCGCTGCACGCCGCTCCCTTGTCTCAATGCGGCTTCGCGGCCGAGCGAACTGGAGACACCTGGCCTGAACAGGCTCACAGTGGTGCTTGTCTCTGGTCGTCTCACACCCCCAAGCCACAGCCCCGCAGCCGCAACACAACGATGGCAACCCCTCCCCCTCGGCCCTCCCACATCCGGGCGCAACGTGCCTCGCACCGCCCGCCCGCAGCGGCCGCTGCATTGGGGGCCCCCCGCCCTCAAACCCGTCTAACCCGCGACGCGCCCTCGCCCCCCGGCACGCCCCCAGCCCCCTCGGCCTCCAGCCTCAACCGGCGCCGCTGCCGCGGCCGGCGCTCCCCTGTGCACCCCTCATGCCGCCCAGTGCGCGGCCCTGTACTCGACATCCTGTTTTTTGTTATGTTGTACCATACCCTGCCGGGCAGGCCCTGCGCATCGTAGGGATCAGGGTTTAGGGTTTCGTGCTCAACACTGAAACCCTAAACCCTGGCCCCCTGCCCCTGCATGTTGTTGTTGCACCCACCATACTCAGTTTTTGTGCCCCTCGAGCCTCTGGCGACGCCAGGGGCCCGCAGCCCGGGAGGCACTCGCCCGGCGCCGGCGCCCCGCCCCCATTTGCCGATTGTCGGGGCCCCTTTTACATGGCTTGAACCCTGCGCGGGGGCGGCACGGCCCCCTCGCCACACGCCGCACGCCACACACCTCCTGAATAAGCGGCGCACAGGCCCCACTGCCGCGCGCCTCAGCCTGGCCCCGGCTGTCCCTGCCCCGCCCCTGAGCCCCCTTCCCGGCCCGCGCACGCCCGCCGCCTTGGGCGGGCCTCCCCTTCAGGCAGGCCGCCCCTTACCAGGCGCAAGCCTCGCCGCAGCATGGGGCCCTTAGTTTGGCGCCCTCCCCACCATCATTGATTTCGATGCGGCGCCTTTGCCCCTCCCCTTGTCCGCCCCCCTGCCGGCAGCCTCCCTTTTGTCCAACCTCGGCACGTGCGCGCCGCCTTGCATAGACAATTCCATGCACATGTAAAACCCTACCCCGACGCTTCCGCTGCCATCAAACGTGCCGCCTTGACAGCTGGCGAGCCGGCAGTCTGTGCAGCCGAGCCCCTTGTGCCAAACTCCAACCCGCTGCCTTTGAGGTGGCATGAGGAGGCCGGGCTGTTTGGAGGACGCCTGGACAGCGCGATGCGCGTTACTCGAGTTGACCGGAGTTGACCGGGTCAAACGTCGGTCATGTCAATCGTGGGTTACAACAAACGTCGGCCGGCCGGCTGCGCCGGGCGCGGGGGTCATGCAAGGTGTGGGGGTGAGGTAAGTGATGCATGCGCGCAGGACGCCGGCGCCATCAATCGGCGGATGGCGCTGTGCGGAGGGGGGTGCTACATTGTCGCAAGCCCCGCGCCGCGGAGCCGCGCGGCTGCGCGCGGGCGCCGCACGGGGCGTCGCGCGCCGCGTGGGCCGCTGGTCTAGGCGGTGGGGGCGGGGGCGCTGTCGCCCTTCTGCGGGGCAAGAGGGCAGGGGGGCAGGTTGGGGAGGGTGAGGAGGGGTTGTAGACAGGGCTGCCAGCGTAATCAGTGGTGCTGCGGCACGTGCAACAAAAACGGATGTGTCGACGCGTGGCACCAATCCAGTCATCGCACAAACCACGAGCTCGCACCCTAGCAAACTCTGCCTCACTCGCACAGGGCACACATGCGCGCGTGCGTACAAGCCCTCTCACACACACACACACACACACACACACACACATGCGCGCGCGCGCCCACGTGAGTCCCCCCACCTTCCAGGGCTTCTTCTTGTAGAGGTAAGCCCCCACCGCCGCGAGGGCCGCGATGACGCCCACTACGGGCAGCGCGGCCGCCACCTGGCGCTCCTCCTTCTTCTTGGGGGGCTCAACGGCCTTCTCCACCTGGGGACGCGAGGGGACGCCAGGAGAATCCGAAAGATTGAGATTACGTGTGTGTCAGGTCATGTGGGGATATACATGTGCACATGTGTGTGTATGCAGAAGTTTAGGGCGTTGTGGTGATCAAGAACGCGCTGCAATTGGGATGGCGCGAGGGCGCCGGCGGCCGGCCAGGTGGCTGCGGTGGCCGGCGCCAGGCGTCACGCCGGGGCGGCGGCGCCCCGCGGCGGGCGATGCGCCGGGGACTGGGTCTGGGGCGCTCCATTGGATGTGCACGAGGCTCCCGGACTCCCCTCGCCCCCCCAAAAAAGGAGAGCCAAGCACCTCCATCCCTTCAGCAATACCCTTTCTGCCAAACCCCAGCAATCCTGCCCTCACCCAAAGCCACCGACATCCTGGTGGTGTGTGGTGCCCCCCCCCCAAACACCCCCCCCCCC